TTTTTATTTTGCTAGTTTTCTTGATAATTGAATAGAACTTTCTCATCTATTTATAATTGATTAAAAATCTAAAAAGTGCTTACCCGATAAAATTGAATAGAACTTTCTCATCTTCAATTTAATATAAATACCTACATTATCTAAATTCAAACAAAAGATATAAAAGATCATGCAAACTAATTGTTGCAACAAAATTGAGGTGTATTAGAATAACAGTAAGTGAGAAAGGAGAGAAGCTAAAGATCTTATATTTGCTCTTACTTTTCTACCCTTTGTTGGATGTGTGGCAGATGACACCAAACGATGTATTGATTGATGATATTTATAACAGAAAGTTGAGACACAATTGATTTCTAAAGATACCAAATTATACCTCAAGTTTCAAAATTAGGACCCTCAAGAGCCAAATTCCAAAAATATCATACAATGTTCATGTAACTAATTTAATATTTTCTGTTGCTCCGCAAGTTGCATTCTACATGATTTATAAGGTTCAGATGTAATTTTTGCAAAACCCTCAAACAAAGCTCACGGGGGTTTGTGAAATTTACCCCTTCTCCTTTGGCGGTAATGTATGATAACGATTGCTATGTGTGATACATTAAGCATATTATTTTGTGTTGGAGAAACTATTTGCGCACCTGTTATCTACTAAATAATAGTCAATTCCTGTGTTTGCGAGAAAAGTAACCTGGGGATTTATTTGTTTTGTTCAAACTGCAGCTTGCTATAGTGTTCGTGTGAGAGGGTCAGAGTACATTCCTTTGCTTGGTATGAGTGATCCAAGATTATTCCTTCTTCAGTGCTCCAGATATTGCTGCGTGAGTCGTTTCCACCGAAGGAGAATCTTCTCCTAATTGAGGACATACAATGACCTCTAACGGTAACTTCGTAGGTTGCTGACTGCAAATTAAAATGCTCATGTAACTTTGGTGAAATTACCTGCAGAGGTAGAAACTTGTACTTCCTATATTTCTGACCTTAAGTTTGAACTCGTTTCTTTCATGGTATTCTTTTTTGAGCTTTTGTGAAGCGGTAGAGAGGGAGGGCTGAGAGAGAACGCGGGATGTATGTACAAAACATGAAGAAATTTGTTCCGAGTTTACGCAGAACGGAGCGTCGTTAAGTTGTTAGCTGTAATTGTTTTCCTCGTAGCAAATGGATGTGGTTTTGATCTCAGTTAAGCTGAGATTATGCTTAGCCTGTTCAATTGATCTTACACTTTTTGATGTTGAAACTTTTTCGTTCTCCTCCTTGTATTTATTTATTTATTAGGGGGATATGCTTCGTAAGAGTGAAACCAAACAGGAGGTCTGATGAGGATGCATCAGAATCAAAAGTTAGTTTTCTTGATCTCAACGTCTGTGCATCTGTTCAGAGGTAAATTTTGGGGACTAATACAATTTGGAGGGCATTAGATATTGCAATGATATTTACAAATATCTATATAGTTGAGAGGCATAGGCAGGAAAAACCAGTAAGGTTTTTGGATAGTTATTAGGCTGCTCTTCTTTTTTTTAAAGCCGACGGCTTCGGTGCTCCCAAAAAATCAGTTGGGAGCTCCGATGGCAGGAAATGTAATTGTGAAACCGGATATTTAGCTCTCTAATCCTTAATTGTAGGATATGTTAGTTAAAAGGAGTTTCACTGGTATTTTAGTAAATAGATAGAACTTTTAAATTAACCTTAAGGGTAATTTAGGAATTAATACAAAGTGATTAAGTTATAAAACAGATGTGAGATCTTTGGGATCATTGACCACGAAACTTTATTCAATTTTTTCTTCTTATTTATTCAATTTTTTCTTCTTATATAATGTATACGCCTCCCTTCCACAAAATTTGAATAATTTCTTTTACTTTATTCAATTTTTTCTTCTTATATAATGTATACGCCTCCCTTCCACAAAATTTGAATAATTTCTTTTATCAGAATATCAATTTTTTAATGTATACGCCTCCCTTCCACAAAATTTGAATAATTTCTTTTATCAGAATATCAATTTTTTCTTCCAATATTTAGCGGCATTCAACACATCAACTAATTTCATCAAGGGAGGAAATATGAAAGGTAATTAAAAATTCTTTTTTTTTTAATTTTTTCTTTTGTAGAAAAAGATAATATCATCAATGTTACACTTTCGTAGAGTCAGTCATCTAACTGTGTTTCTCCTTAACAATTGTTTATTTCTCTAAAATTTATAGTTCAGATTGATACATAGAACAACTTGTAAAATAACATAACAATTGATCATCGAAATTCAGAGTGCGGGGTCATAATAAACACCTTAAAACAAATGATTAATTAAAAAAGAAAAATAGCAACAAGAGGGAGGGGATCGGTCGGGTTCGAGGAGGAAGGATAAGGCGGACAGGTCTCCGGAGCGGAGGAGTGGGCGGAAGGTCAGTGAGAAGGCACGAGTGGAGGAGAGAGGGTCGGGTGGCGGTGAAGATTTGGCGCAGCAAGAGAGAGAACAAAGATGGAGGAAACAGAGAACAGTTTTGGAAGAGGATAATTAGGAAAATATGTAAATAGGTTGGACAAAAATACCCTCCCATCTTTCTAGACAGTTTTAATTATTTTTTTTTCAAATTAAAAATGCTGTAAAAAATGTTAATTTGGGAGCACCGAAGCAATTCTCTATTTTTTTTGAGGTTTGCTTCGGTGCTCCAAAAATAGGCTTTTTTTTAATTTTTAAATTGACAAAAATAACAAATGAGCTAAAATAAGAAAGGGTATTTTAGTCTTTCAAAATTCTCTTCTAATTGATTTCTATCCTAAACACAACCACTGTGTTGCTTTTTTCCTTTCTCATCACATGACATAATTACTTTAGAGTCTTTTAATCATCCAATACCTTTATAGAGGCAAAGAACAATGAGCAAAGCATAATGTTCTATATAATTAAAAAAAGATTAAAAGAAAAAAGATGGGGATACCTTTCATAGCGCCTCTTCACGAGAAATTTTGGAGAATAGGATGCGTCCTTGCCTTTTATAAACAATATATAAAAGATAATTAATCAAGAGGACAAATAAGACTAGCAAAAATTAGCTAAATTTCCTTCAGCAATGAATCTGTGGATACTAGTGAATGTAAGCAATTAACTAATTTCCTTCAGCAATCAAAATTAGAAGTTCTAGTTGAAAGCACATGAGCAAAACCACGGTAGAGGATTATGCTAAATTGAAATTAGTTAGTTGAAGAATTGTAACTAATCAACAATTCGGTTTCTCTCCTAAATTGTATTTCCTAAAGTAACCTTTTAATCTATAGTTAATTACAATTTTGGGTGTGGAACACCTCCTAACTACCAAATCTATCTATCTAGAAATGTGAGAGCTATTTTTAAGGAATATATTTACAGATATGCCACCGGTGCTCCAACAATTTTTCATGGAGCACCGAAGCGGTAGGCTTTTTTTTTATATAAAACCTGTATTAGGATTTGAATCTAATCATATCAAAAGTCTGTTAAAACTAACTACATAACATTAATTAGGTACCATGTTTAATGCAATGTAGTTAGTTTTAATAGACTGTTTAGTATGGTTTAAAGATTCAACTCCCGGTAAGAGTTGGATTTTGGATTAGATAGCAGAATTTTAATCACAAATATTGAAATGGGTATCATCATCCCCCTTTGTGGATGTTTTATTTTCAAAAAGAATGCAATTTAAGTTGCAAAAAATTGATTAGGAAACGTGATCGAACAAGTTATAATTGGAACTGCATGATTCCCAATTTAGATAGGACTAGGATTTTTTTTTGTTAATCAAGTCAAAGTTACTCATAATAGGATTAGGAAACCTAACAAAACTCAACTCCAATGAAATACGGCGGAAGTTATATATAGTGGGGTCCACCAGGAACAAAGGAAAAAAAAAAAAACGATTCTCAAAACTATAGATTACGGTTCTGGTCTTCGCGGCAAAAAAAGGGTCCTTCCTTCTTCTATCTTCCTTCCTCTTGGCTTCATCAAAAAGGTACGTAAATGTTAAAAATTTGATCTTTTGTTGTAATTAAATTCGTGCAATATTTCTATATTACTTGCAGAATTCTTCCATAAAGCTTGATCTTTTAGTTATGGTTCCTTTGAGACATAATAGCCAAAAAATTGGAATTTCAATATTTTGAGATTCCAATTATTCTTCTAAGGATAGACTTGTAGAGGAAAACTAAGGCCAGGGTAAGCAAGACCCAGGTAGGAAATTGCTGACAAAAGGCTGCATAATTGGAATTATGAGACAGTTTTAATTAAATATTAACAAGCAATATTTGAGAAAAATAGAACTTAACCTGAAATCAATATCTTTGGTATATGAAGAAGAGAGGGGGGGGGGGGGGGGGACATTACCGGATCAATTGGAAAAAAAAAAAGAAATTTCAACAATTAATTTAGTTTTACCCTTTTTTTTAAAATGAAGATTTAAATCAAATTTTAGGATTTGAGAGTTAACCAATGTTTTGCATTCTGTGCTGGGTCTCTGATCAAATTTTAGGATTTGAGAGTTAACCAATATATAATCACAATGGCGTCCAGTTTCGCAATAGTTTCATATCATTCTTCTTTATTTTCTTAAATCGGTGAAATATATTCCGTCTAATGAGGCTGGGGTAGCGTCTTTGCAGGCAAGTTGTGCGTCCCGACCAAAGGTTGATTTGATCGGCTTCATTTAAGACTTTGGGTTGAGCTTCTGCTGGCTGGAAAGTATAAACTTTCTTATTCTTTGAATAAATAGACCATGGCTATTAGGAAGTGCAAGATGGATCTAGTAGATGAAATTCTGAGCTCATCCAAACAGGCTATTAGGGAAACACAGGATCTCAGATCCTAGCTGTTTTTTGTTTTTTTTAAAGTTGATTTTTGTTGTTCTTTGAACAAATATTAGAAACATTCCTTTTTTTTCCATCATACCGATCAAATGGTGAGTGTATGCTACTAATAGTTGAAATCTAATCTACGTGTTTCGCTTTTTATTTCTGTACAGTTTGAAAAAATGAGCTCTGACATTGCGTTGAAGGACAATGCGAGATTGCGAAGGGCTACATTTAGAAAGAGAGAAAGAACTCTTAAGAAGAATGCACGAGAACTGTCTGCTTTATGCGGCACCCCCACCCTGCTGATATTGTTTGGGCCCGAGGAAGAAATCATTACATGGCCTGAAAAACTGTGCGAAACCAAAGATATAATCAAGGAATACCAAGAACTTAGTCGACATGCGAGTAACAAGCATAACTTCACATTGTCCGACTATCTTCAGCGACGAAAGATGAAGGATCACGAAAGAACAACGACAAGGGTCGATGATATTACCTCGTTTGAAGAAGCGAAGGAGGCGATAAGATCAATTGATTCCACATTGAAGGAAGTCGAAAAGAGGATGAATTTTTTATCTCTCGATAAAAATTTGGAAAATGCCGCGATTGAAGAAGAGGAAATAGAGCCAAATTTTGAATTTGGTTCGGTACTAACTCATAATAGTGATGAGGATGGAGATGATACCATGGAGGAGTTCGCTTCAACTTCGACAGAAGAGAACACGAAACAAATTGCTTCAACTTCTACGGAAGAAAATATGAAGAAAATTACTTCAAGAGAAGAGAAAGGGAAGGAAATTACTTCGGCTTTGACGAAAGAGAGAATGCAGACTGTTAGACTGTTTGGAAAGGAAATAACAGTACGTGAATAGCAAATTTTGAACTTTTTTTCTTTCTTTTCCCCCCCCTTTTTTCGCTTTGACGAGGATGGTCAGAAATTTTGTAACCGAGTAGGTGTATCATTATAAAGTCAGATTATTTTTTCTGCAAAATTTTGGTGCTTGTTATGCGCACATGTAATTTTAGGAGGTAATATACTGAGCTACGTACGTGGGCTATACATCTCATGAATAGGTGGAATTTGTTCTTGAGGATTGCAATGACAAATTATGAATTCCTACAGGTTCCGTATTTGCTTTATGTTACAAGAGTAACATCACTTTGGTAAATGAAAAAAAAAGTAATATGATGGGTTTATTAATTTGGGAGACCAAGTCTTTTGAACTATATGAGCCGCGCAACTGTGTTTGATTAGTGGTGACATTGTGTTTGAAGGGTTTGGCGGTATCATAAACTGGCCGAAGGTCTTTTCAAATAAGATGATATAATTAATACAGGCCCTGTGCACTGTAGCAGAGAGAGAGAGAGTGTGACACAAGGTGTGCCTGGGGGTGTGACTGTAGTGCCACCCTATAATATAATGAAAAATCTAGTTTTGGGCGAGTAGTGCCACCCTCATGTCCAAGTTTCTTGCTTTTGAATTCCTACTATGTCATGTTATGTGACAGTTTTACCACATTTAGCAGTATTTTGACCTAGTGTTGACTTTTACTAGTCTTGACCTTAACCTTTGTGGATTTACTGTTTTGCCCTTAACTTCAGTGGTTTAGTTTGTTAGAGGCTTTGGCGTGTGCGTGAGGACCTTGCTTATCAGGTTCTCATGTAAATACTATCGATCGAGTCGCAGCCCTTATCCGTATCTTAGACACAGGGCATGACAAGAAATAGGTATTATTACTTGTTATTGGGCCAAAGATAAATTGCATAATCATGTGTTATAACTTATAACCCATCAAAATTTGGGAAAATTGCTTCAAGGCCCCAAAACCCAACTTCTATTGTGCCCCAGCCCCTCTTACTTTCCCTAGTGTGCTGCAGCCCCTCATTTTAAAAAAATTTACGTCCAGGCCCCTCCATGTCCAAAAACCCGATTTTGCCCTCCCTTCACCTCCCTCCTCCTCCTCCTTTGCCGGTCCCCCTTTGCCCCTTCCCCCACGCCGCCTCCCTCCCCCGCCCCCACCTCCCTACCCCCCAACGCCGCCTCCTCCTCCCCCACATCCCTCCCTCGCACCACGACGCCTCTCCTTCCACATGGCCTCCCTCCCACCGTCCACGCTCTCCCAGCACTTTCCCAAGATGTATACATTCCCTCCCCCGCCTCGGCCTCCCTCCCCTACACTCCCCTCCCCTCCCCGCCCTCCCTCCCTACACCTCCCTCCTCCCCCCCGCCTCCCTCATTCCCCCCTCCGCCCCCTCCCCCCCCCCCCAGCCCCCCCCCCCCCCACCCCCACCCCCCACCCCCACCCCCACCCCCCCCCTCCCCCCCCACCCCCCCCCCCTTCCCCCCCCCCCCCCACCCCCTCCCCCCCCCACCCCCCCCCCCCCCCCCCACCCCTCCGCACCCCCCCCCCCGCCCCCCCCGCCCCCCCCCCCACCCCCCCCCACACCCCCAACTCCCCCACCCCCCCCCGCCCCCACCCCCCCCCCCCCTGCACCGCCTCCCTCCCCCCGCCCCTCCATCCTCGTCTCCCTCTCCCTCCGCCCGCCGACTGCACCTCCCCTAACTCCCTCCCCTCCTTCGGTCCCACCTCTTATCCCCTTCCCCCGTTCGCCGCCGTCGTCACCGAGGAAACTTCGCGTGGAGCACATTAGTAAGAGTAACATTATAGCCTGCCAGAGTTACATCCTGGCATGAGAAAGAGGAGGTAAATTGTGAAATTTACAACCAGCTGACATTGTCTAACATAGACTGACATGTCAAATCAACTACTGGACATGCAGCCTGAAATCATGTGATGGGGACCCTTGGCACATTTTTTTTCAAAAAAGGGCTAAAGCACATTAAAAAAATAGACGGTTTGGGCACATGGAAAGTTTCAAATTTGCGGGCTAGAAGTAATTTTCCCTCAAAAATTCTTACATTTTTATGTACTATGACTTAAAGGTCTATAATAATATATAAAAGTAATATATATATATATATATTTATAATTATATATATATAATTATATATATATATATATATATATATATATATATTATATATATATAATATATAATGATATATATATAATATATATAGATATATATATATATATAGCCCATGAAAATTGTAAAAATTGAAGTCCACACAATTAATTATCATCGGATTGAAACGAACAAAAACGGGAAAAATCATCGACTAAGCCCTTGAAAATCACTAATTTTGAAGTATGCACAATTCTTTGGATTTTTTTTTGAAAAAACATAAGTAGACAAAAGCCATAGATTATATCTTAAGAAAATAAAAATATTGAAGTATATATTATTACTTATCATTGACACGAAACAAACAAAATTGTCAAAATTGTGGGTTATAATCCATCAAAATATTGAACTTTGAAGTAGTCATAATTACTGTCATTGGGTCAAATGAATGATATTAAACAAATATCATGAGTTATAGTCCATGAAAATCATGAATGTTGAAGTTTAGATAATTAATTGCTATAGCATCAAAATGAATAAACATACATAAAAATTGCGGGTTTAGCAAACAAAAATTGTGAATTTGGAAATTTGTATTAGTACTTGATACTTGGACGAAATGGACAAAAAATGCGTAACTGTGTGTTATAACACATCAATCATGAATTTTTAAGTACTAATAACTAATTGATATTGGATCAAATGAATGCTAATAGACAAATATCATGGATTATAGTCCACAAAAATCACTGAAAATTAAACTTCGCACAATTAATTGCAATTGAATCGAAATGCAAAAAAATCATAGACTATTAGCCCTTGAAAAATCACTAATTTTTTTGTACACATCCTTATTTCCCATTTGGTTAAAAATTGCAAATTGATAAAAATATTCATTGTAGCTTGTGAAAATTGTGAAATTTGAAGTGCATATTATTACTTGTTTTAGGATGAAAAGGAAATAAATTGCCTAATCATGGGTTATAACATACAAAAGTCACAAATTATGAAGTACTAGTAATTAGTTGCTATTGGATTGAAGGAATGATAATAGATAAAAATCGTGGGTTGTAACCCGTAAACATTAAAATGCACACAATTAATTATTATTGGATCGACATGAATAAAAGTGAACAAAAACCATAGATTATAGCCCCATGAAAATAACTAATATTGGTGTGTGAGTGTGTGTTTATTTGTGTGTATATTTTAGACATTTTTAGTCATTTCGATACATTGGTAAATAATTTTACGTAAGCTAAAATTCATGATTTCTTGAGATATAATACATGAGTTTTGCTATTTTTGTACATTTCAACCCATTAGCAATTTATTTCGTGGAGGTCGAAATTTGCTATTCATGAGCGATTGCCACCTAAGTTGGTTATTTTTAGCCATTTTGACTCATGGTCAAATAATTTAATGAAAGGCATGATTTCATGAGATATAACCCACAACTTTTGGCTATTTTTAATCATTTAAACCGTTGTCAAATAATTTCTCGGTGGCAAAAATTTACAATTTTGTAAGCTATAACCCATAAAGTTTTTGCTATTTTTAGTCATTTTGACCCGTTGTTAAATAATTCCACAGTGGCTAAAATTCAAGATTTTAAGAGTTATAACGCATGATTTTTGGCCTTCTTTAATCTTTTCGACTAGATGGCAGTTAATTTTGTGGAGGCCGAAATTCACGATTTCGTGAGCTATTTCTAGAATTATTTAGTCATTTCGACCCACTAGCAAATATTTTTGAGGTGGCCAAAATTCACGAATTAGTGAGCAATAATCCAATATTTTTGGCCATTTTTTATTATTCTGACCCATTAGCAAATAATTTTATGAAAGATAAAATTCACAATTTTGTAAGCCATAATCCACCAATAATTTTGTGGATGCCATAATTATTTATTTCTTGAGCTATGATCCATGATTTTTGGTCATTTTAACTTGTTGGCAGTTAATTTTGTTGAGGCAAAATTCATGATTTTATGACCTATTATTTAGACTTTCTCAACCCATTATCTCATAATCTAATGCAAGGCAATATACTTGTTTTCGTGAGCTATAAACCATACATTTTGGACATTTTTATTCGTTTTTACCTATTGTCTAATAATTTTGTATTTGCTAAAATTGACGATTTCATAACCTATAACCCACAATATTTAGCTATTTTTAGTCATTTTGACTTGTGAGCAATTAATTTCATGGTGTCCAAAATTAACAATTTTATAGGCTATTACCCCCAATTTTTGGTTTTTTGTTGGTGTTTCGACTTATTGTTAAATAATTTTACAGAGGTCAAAATTCATGATTTTATAAGTTATAACGTACTATTTTAGATCATTTATATTATATTTCAACCCAGTGTCAAATAATTTCACCATGGGTAATAATATTTCATGAGCTATAACCCATGATATTTGGACATTTCTGGTCATTTCGACCGGTTGTCAAATAATTTTGCGAAGGCCAAATTAAGTAATTCATGATTTAATGAGCGGTAACTCACTTAGCCATTTTGACCATTTCGACAGATTGTCAAGTAATTATGATTTTATGAGTTATAACTCACGAGTTTATGACCATTTCTACTTGTTTCTCGCGTTGGCAAATAAATTTGTGGAGGCTGAAATTTAGTACTTTATGTGCTACAACCCATGATTTTTAGGCATTCAAATCGTTTTGACCAATTAGCAAATAATTTAGAGGAGGCCAAATTTTATGACTTTACGAACTATAACTCATGTTTTTTGACCATTGTTAGTCATTTCGGCCCATTGGTGAATAATTTTTAGGTGACCAAAATTCATGATTCCGTGAGCGATAACCCATGATTTTTAGCGATTTTTTTATTATTTTGACCCATTGGCAAATGATTTACGAAAATGAAACATACTCGATTTTGTAGGCTACAACTCACCTATTTTGGCAATTTCTAGTCATTTTGACCAATTAACAAGTAATTTTGTGAATGCTAAAATTCTTGATTTCTTGAGCTAAAACTCATGATTTTTGGCCATTTTTAGCCATTCAATCCATTGGTAAATAATTTGATGGCAGCCAAAATGTATGATTTTGTGAGCTATAACTCATGATTTTTTGCTATTTTTATCTTTTTGAATGATTTTTCAATGGTCAAAATTTACGATTTTGTGGGCTATAACCCATGATTTTTGGCCATTTGTAAATAATTTCAAGGTGGCCACAATTCACAATTCCATGAGCTATATAACCCATGATTTTTTACCATTTTTACCATTTTGACCCATTAGCAAATAATTTTTCAGAAGCCAAAATTTAGATTTTGTAAGCTTTATCCCGTGATCACCGACCACTTCTAGCCATTTTGCCCTTGCCAAATAATTTTTTGGTGAGAAAAAATTCACAACTTCGTAAACTATAACTCACCATTTTTTTGCCATTTTCAGTTGTTTTGAATGGTTACCAAATAATTTTGCTATGGTCAGAATTTATTATTTCATTAGCTATAGCTCATGATTTTTGGACATTTTTAGACATTAATTTTGACATGTTGGTAAATAATTTTATGTGGGCTAATATTCATGATTTCTTGAGATACAACACACGATTTTTTGATATTTTGACATTTCAACCCATTAGCAATTAATTTCATGAAGGCCAAAATTTGTTGTTCATGATCGATTACCACCAAAGTTGGCTATGTTTAGCTATTTCGACCCATGGCCGAATAATTTAATGAAAGACAAAATACATGATTTCATGAGATATAATCCGCAATTTTTGGCTGTTTTTAGTCATTTTGACCATTGTCAAATAATTTCCTAGTGGCTGAAATTTACGATTTTGTGAGCTATAACCCTCGATTTTATGCTCTTTTTAGTCATTTGTGACCTATTATTTGGACTTTTCGGCCAGTTGTCTAGTAATCTAATGCAGGGCAAAATGCTTGTTTTGGTGAGCTATAACCCATTATTTTTAGTCATTTTTATTCGTTTCTACTTAACGTCAAATAATTTTGCAGTTGATAAAATTCACGATTTTGTGAGCTATAAACTCATGATATTTGGCCATTTTTAGTCATTTTTACTTGTTGGCAATTAATTTTGTTGTGGCTAAAATTAACAATTTTATGAGCAAACCACCAAATTTTGGCTATTTTTTGTTGTTTCGATAGTGTTCGTTGGAAAATTTGTAAGAAGAAAACTGAAAGAATTGAATTTGGTTTATTCTCTCTAACTGCTTAGAAAAAGAATGTTTACAACTCTCTCAATCTCGATTACAATTTAAATTTCCTGATTACAAAAGAGAAGAGAATTGATGTGAATTCTCCCATTTGTTTAATTTTGGGTTCTTCACGGTAGCGATAGAGTGCCTCCATCGAATGCTCGCGTTGAGTTTGCTCTCCGTTGACGATCCAAACATCTCGCTGGAACAATTAACTTGCGTGGCAAGTTTGGAAACTCTAAACGAGTTAATAACTCAGAACAAGTTTATGGAACTCTGTAATAGAGTTGATCTAAACCGAGAATCGGTTAACAAGCGTGATGTGCTTGTTGCTGTGTCCGTGGATCGGAGAAGGATCTGAACTGTTGCCTTTGTGATCTCAAGCCCTGAACTTCGTGATCTGAAGTTGCCGAAGTTGCCGAACTCTCCTGCTCGTCCTCTTGATCTGAAATCGTCCAGCCGAACCTAGATCAAGCCGTTTTATGCCAAAGAAATCTACCTATGATCCCCCGAACCGATCTCCCTTGAACTGAATTAATTTTTAGTTATTTATAGAGGATTAAAGGGCGTAACTACCCCTTAAATCTCTTCTAAGTGGGGTGTAACCGCCCCCAAATCGTGGGAAACGGTTTTGGAACCGTTCAGCTCATGTTGAATGAGTCAAACAATACCCAGTTTGACGTTCTGGATGTTAACTCCGCGGAGTTCGGTTTGGGCCGAAAACTGAACGCAGGGGTCGCCTGTGTTTTAAAAGTTGAACACAGAGGCGAACTCTGCGTTTAGAAGTGGTTGTTGACTTGTAACCTTTTCTATTGAAGCATCTACAATGACCATTGTTCTGTAATCCTTACTTTAGCTATTTGGGGTGCGAGAGCCGTCAGATTGTAACTCTCATATTTGATTGTGAAGACCGTTGAATAGAGTTTTCATCAGTCGTCGGAAATCTACGTGAAAAGTCCTCCATTTGCAGCTTTCGTGAAAGTCGTTTGATTGTAACTTTCATTGTCGAAATATTGATTGAAGCTTGATAGGGATCAGCTATCTGTTGTGATTTTTAGACAGCCTACAGACAGGTTGTCAAATATTTTCACAAAAGACAAAATTCATGATTTCATAAGCTATAACGTACTATTTTAGGCCATTTTTATTATATTTCAACCCAGTGTCAAATAATTTCACCATGGGTAGAAATATTTCATGAGCTATTGCCAATGTTTTATCAATTTGTCACGTCTTAGAACAAAATGCATCACATATGAAAACCTTATCTATCTTCCGCAGTGCCAATGTTTTATCCCACAAGTATTCATTGTCAACATGTCAATGCATTCCAGATGCATGCATTGTATTACTGCAAGGTCTTAGTTCGGGAATCACGATAGTTATTTAAACACTATGCTCCTATGATAACTAGCTCAACCATTATCTTCCAAAAGCTTAGTTATAGCTATGGATTCAAATAACATAGAAGGATAGTTAATATCTCATGACTTCCACAATTTTGCTGCAATTGTTGCTAGATATTATAGAACGTATACCACGGATCTTGTGATTTGCTAGATATTATAGAACGTATACCATGGATCTTGAATCACATAAATTGATAACCTTATAATTACATTGAAGAAATAACACAATTATTATGAATTGAATAATAAATATTCTTGTACCATTTATCATTATAACAAAAATGTATCTCATGCATTCTTATAATGGTTATATCTGAATTTAATACCAGCGCCCCTATTGCTCTGAGAATTGAATAATAAATATTCTTGTACCATTTATCATGATAACAAAAATGTATCTCATGCATTCTTATAATGGTTATATCTGAATTTAATACCAGCGCCCCTATTGCTCTGAGAGTGTTTGTCATACTTTATGGCTGCGTTTGACAAAGGGTTAAGGAAGAGGGAATAAGGAGAATGGTTAACTTAGTTAATCCATTATGAAGGGTTAAAATATTCTAATTCCGTTTGGATTTGATAGTTAAGACAATGGGTTAAGTCTTTTGTGTTTGGCAAATGAAGAAGGGATAAGGAGATTGATCTCATTATTTTTTTAAAAAATACCACTTTCGCCCTTACTAAAAATTTATAACTAATTGCCTCATTAATATCTTTTTCGCATTATTTACCTTCTGAGCAATTTCAAAGATTTGAAGCGCTAATATGTAATTCAGATGAGACACGAAGGACTAATATTTTTTTTTTAAATAACGTTGAAATGACAATGCAGGAAAACCGAAATCAATCCCCATGCCCAGGAATCACTAGATTCGCTACTACAGTTTGAATCCGAAGCCGAAATACCCAGCATTAGCATCATAGTCAGTCCCTCTAATGCAGAAAAGCCAAAACCTGAAAATACCATGTCCAGAATGCCTCTGACTCAGTTGCTGCAGAACTACCAAAACCTCCAGCAAGAACAGAAATGAAGCCCATGAATCAAGGCCCAAAGACGACACCGGCAGGTTCCCAAACTGAATATGCTAGAGCGTAGCAGAACCAACACAAAACACCCAGCAGAAACCGAACCAAAACCCATGAACCAAGGCCCTTAGATGAATCTGAAAACTACCAGCAGGTTCCCAAGCTGAGTATGCAAGAGCGGAGCAACCGAAAGCCAAGAAGGAAAACCAGAAAACTAGAGTAGAGGAGCAACCGAAACCAATAAACAGGAACAGAAACATAGGTGAGCACCTTAACTAGTATGCCCCTGGTGCAAAAATGAGCTGTGTTCCAAACTTCCGAACACAGAACAGGAAGCCCAAAGTAAAGAGAGCTGACAAACATCGATAATCTCCTGAATGCAACACATGGGTCATCTTCCAAGTGAGCTGACAAACAAATTGGAGCTCCTGAATGCGTAATAAAAACAATACTAAACCACCAAAGCAAATTATAGTAAACTGCTTTTAGCCAATGAAAAGAAAATAAGAAAAAACAAGTGAAAGAGTACTAAACCACCAAAGCAAATGCATCATGCCCATTGTCATTACAGTTAGATTATAGATCTATAGTAAAAGAAATTGAAAGATACAAAATTCTAATAAAGCTTTCATCTTCAATTAAAACAAAAATCTGAGAGCACATTTAACCCATCAAAATAACATAATTTGATTGTCTGACAAAGAAGAACATAATTTGATTGTCTGACCAAAAGATAGTCACTCTTTGGAACATCAACTTTAACTAAAAGCAAGGAAATATACTAATAAACTAAATATGAGAGCACATTTAACTCATCTACTAGTCTTGACTATTGAGACTTGAACATAAAGCATCAATTCGGATGAAAGTTTTGTTTCTTCTTAAGTAAGCTGACAAATGACCCCATCTCTTGCATGTTGCTGTCATGAGCTTGTGACATTCGTGATTGACCTTGAGAAGTTTGAGAAAACCCTTGCCAACTTGGTTGATTAAACGACTCACTTTGGAACTGGTGCATTTGAGGTTGTTGATGTTGAAAATTATAAGTAGGCGAGGGATAACCAGACATTGCACTTTGTAAATCCATTTGTTTCTTGAGCCATGATAATAGCATTTGACCGTTAAGCATATTAACGACATGCATATTCTCCTTTTTAATAGCTTCTGCTCCTGCCACACATAGATCACTAGTTACACCTGATAAATTCATTATCTTATCCATGCACTCTTTCATTTCAGTGGGCACCCCTTTTTTGTAATCTACTAGCTCTTTTGTAATTTCAACTCGCTGCTTTTGAAGCTCAATCATCTTTGACAAATTATTTTCAACTTCAATACTTGATACTCGACGACGAGAAATATTTTTAAACTTACGCTTTAAACCTGATGGTTGAGCGTGACACTTTATGCTCGGAGTAGAAATAGGTATTGGTTGTGATGGTGGTTGTGTACCATTAAAAGGAACTTGTGTCTCTTCCACTTCTTGTACCTCCTCTGAATCACTGAAATCTATCTCGTTATTATGTGACTCCTCAGTATCCTCTAATTCGTTATCTGAACTAGTGCTTCCTTCACGCTCATTGAAGTCATCAGTAGTTCCAAACCACCAGCACCCCTTAGATGTGTTACCTCCACATAGAAAATCCATATCATCAAACTGAGGAAAATGTTTGTTTTTAATTCTTAAATACTCATCATTCTCATGCGGTAGAAAATTCATAATAAATATATTATAGTTTTAATTATATAATATTCAAATTCAATAATGCTAGAAATTTAAATATTACATTTATCAATGCCTCCCAATCTTTTGCAGTAGGTGCAATCACCATATTTTTACCTTCAATACAACCCTAACCTGATTTATTTCGGAGTTTGTAATTAAGGGAATATTGCTTTTTCAAAATTTTACAACGGTTTTGCATTTGTAGTTTGCCTCTGTCCTTTTGTCCAGTTCTAACTTTATACTTGTCGGTAACATTTTGCCATTGCTCGGTAGTGAAATGACCTCCATTGTTCTTTACTTTAAGGACCATTTCCTTTATGAACCTGACATCATTTTTAGGGACCATTAAATTTCACTTGGCTGTTTATCAAATCATATCTTTAACAAAAAATATCCTGGTCCAAGTAGACTCCGAAAAGGTTGAGTCTCCTCTATGAATGGTTAACTCCATGTAGGCATGAACATTTGTCTGTCTCACAACATCACATATTTAGTCCCTTCCCCAGAAGCATAAACAAAACTATATGGAAGCTCAAGCAGCAAGCACTCTTTCATTTCAGCATAAACAAAACTATGTGGAAGAGTAATTAACAAAATGAATAGCATAACATAATTCTTGAAATTAACAAGTAGTCTTGAAATGCATAGCAGGTGTTATTCATAGCAGCAAGCACTCAAGCACTCTTGTCATGAATGCATAGCAGGTGTTACTCATAACTATGTGGAAAGAGTAATTAACAAAATGCATAGCAGCAAGCACTCTTGTCATGAATGCACAAAATTCTTGAAATTAACAAGTAGTCAGTATTCTCTAATTAGGTGAAGCATAGCATATCTTTAATGAATCAATTCAAATGCAGGTGTTATTCATAAACCTGCTTGGAAATCTAAGATTTTTTTACATATGACAGGATAAGGAATTTAAGCACATTAGATGAATGCAGACCATGCAGTATAAATTCATAGGGCAATATGTAAGAAACAAAAGCGTTTCAGCATGTACGCACACAAAAGCATGTATGTAATTTCAGCATGTAAGAAACAAAAACATTCCAGCATGTTCAGTTACATTCTGGCATATTCAGTTACTATGCTGAAATTCTTTTGTCCATATTGTAGCATGTCCATATTCCAGAAAGTGTATTTATTTTGTGCAAAGGCTATCAATAGACAAAACAAGTCACTTTTCAGTATACATTTCGTTAGTTCAAAAAGACCATTTTAAGCAATCCGGCGTGGTACTTACCAGTAATAAACAAATACTCAAATGAACAATTATGCTACCTCAAAATTTTATGAAAAGTATGACAACAAATCATAGCATCCAAATAATTCAATCAAAACAGTTAATATACCTCAAAATTGGAAACCCAAGTTTCTGTTGGATATATATATTTTAAACTAGAGCAAACGCCTGCCTAAATTTTTTGAAAAGTAAAAGCAAAAGATGCAAACGGTTTCTCCTAAACTTTTTGAAAAGATGGGCTAACTTTTTGACATAAAGAAAAGTTAACATAAAGAAAAAAACATGATCAAAAGTTCGACAACGAGCACTAATTCGAACCAAAAAACCTAACAATTTGGAGCTAAACAAGCTCGAATCATGTGTAACTGGAAAAACAGTCCCAAAGCTCGACAACAAGCACCAATTCGAACCAAAAAACCCAACAATCGAGAGCTAAACAAGCTCGAATCATGCGTAACTGGAAAAACAAAGATTAAACATACTTGAAACTTAAAACTTAGAAAGATACTTGGGTCTTTTTTTTAGTCTGATATCAAGAATCATACTTGAACTTTTATCCTTATCTGCAGGGGCAAAAACAAATATAAATATGGTCATACTTCTATACACTTAAGAACACTCTGTTTACAACCCTGAATTCTAAGCATTTGATTAGAAAGATAAAACTCGTGCTTGTGTCTTTTTCCCTCCAATGCATACAATTGTACCTACTTCTATACAAACCAGAAATGATAAACAAAAGGATAAAACAACCAATGCATACAATTGTACTAACTAATCTAAATCTTATGCCAATGCAAAAACTAAGAACTTCTACATAGTCACTTATATACAAATTTTAACTGCATTCAAAGCTAACAAAAATCTAATCCACTTAACCATCAACACTCAATCTTTGACCTCAAAACAATTTAACCATGTAAACTGTACATTCAAACTTTATATCATTATTATTGTATATGACAACCTTTGACCTCATAAAGTATTCTGAAGTTGCACGAAATAACAGCCTAGACTTTTCTGCTAGCTACCACTACATTTGAATTCATATTAGAAATTGAAATCTGACACCAACTAAATAGTTACACATGTTTCATTATTGTAACTCCAAAATTAAGACTTCCTTTTTGCATTGTCAATCTACATTCGTAAATATATTTGAGAATTGGAAGTAGATATGCATATATATGTAAGTATAAATGATTTTGCTCATGTATGAACATGTCTGATTAAGAATTGGAAGCAGATATGCATATACATGTAAGTATAAATTATTCCATGCTCTTGATGCATTTTTCATTAAGAATTGGAAGCAGATATGCATATACATGTAAGTATAAATTATTCCATGCTCTTGATGCATTTTTCAGTAACAAATGAATATAAATAACTATAAGATTTGGGCTATGCATTGCAAGATATGATGCATTCTTCCAAGTAGTTGTATTGCCAAGCCATGAAGTTGAATATTTTCTCAGTCTTGCTGTGCTCCACAGTCAAACATGTAAGTATAAATTATTCCATGCTCCACTGTTTGTAATTTTTAAGATGAAATAGTTTATCTCCTTACTTGCAATCAGGTTGCTATCAAAAAGTCTTCCCTTGACATCCATTATCTATATATATTTACCGGTTCTCTATATTTTCTTGAGGCGCTATGGTTTATCATATAATTGTCTTTGGAATCAAAATTATGTGGCATCAAAATTATTTGAACAAATTGACAGTAAAAAACTATTGCAGAGAATGCTTGATTAAAATAAAAAAATCCATCTTTAACAATAAAGTTTCAGGTTTCTAAGAATTAGAATGATCTGGCATATTTATCCATTGAAATTTTTATTTTATTTGGGTAAAGGAACTGGTTTTGGGAGAGTCTCCTGCCAATCAACCTATCTTTATATGACAAACCTTTGAACTCAAAAAGTATGCTAAAAATTGCACGAAATAATAGCAGGACAGAATGCATGTAGGTTTAACAAAACAAAAACATAAGTGACAAAAGTTCCCCTAATAGAGAATTTGAAAAAGATACATATATCAAGTTCCTAATAGAAAGAGTATAAAACTTAGATTATTAAATTTTTAAAAACCAAGAGTAAAGCAAAATCAACATACCTCAACTCCTTTGCCTCCAGTCAATTGAGATTAGCAATCGCCTGAGAAAACCCCACTATGTAAAAGAAAATTTCTCTCTTCTTGATTGTTCCCCTAAAATATACCTATTAATAGTTGAGAAACATCTGAACGTGAAAAAATTAGAGGGAAATTTTGGAGGGAAATGAGTAGAGGGAAACATTTTTTTTTTTTTTTTTTTGGGGGGGGGGGGGGGGGTTATTTTTCACCTGATTTTCGCTGCTGATTTTGCTCCCGACCCTCACAAGATCCAGGTGAAAATATTTTTTTCTTAATTCCCTTGCTTACCCTCGCGTGAGAAGGCGGAACAAGCCTTCTTCCGCCTTCTCACGAGGGATAGTTAACCCTTGGGTTAAAGGGTTTCAAGGGTTAAAAAGATCACGTGCGGGCTAACAAGCCCTTAGGCTTTTTTTACTGTTTGGCAGGCTAATGAAGGGTTAAACCCCCTTAACCCTTCATTTAATATCTCATGACTTCCACAATTTTGCTACAATTGTTGCTAGATATTATAGAACGTATACCACGGATCTTGTGATTTGCTAGATATTATAGAATGTATACCATGGATCTTGAATCACATAAATTGATAACCTTATAATTACATTGAAGAACTAACACAATTATTATGAAAATTAAATAATAAATATTCTTGTACCATTTATCATTATAACAAAAATGTATCACATGCATTCTTATAATGGTTATATCTGAATTTAATACCAGCGCCCCTATTGCTCTGAGAGTGTTTGTCATACTTTATAAGTTTAATCCAGCTGGTAAACATTCTATATATTGGCTTCGCATCTAGGTTCACGGAGAAAAATAAACTTCGGCCTTGTATATGCCTTATTTATACCTTGATTATAAGCTCTTTGAGTTAGCGCAAAGCACTAAATTTTAGTCTGCCAAGTTGATATTAGCACAAATTCAATTTACTGAAATATATGCAATTTAATTTGTTATGTTGTTCCTTCATGGTAACGTGCCGTGATCCTCTAGGTTGTTTTGATTTTTATTTTTATTTTTCTTGTG